TATATATATATATATATATCACGTCTAAGTAAAATCACAAATTAACAATAATAATAAGTAATTAGAATTTATATAAGTGAAATGTGATAAAAAATACTATTCGGAAAGGAATAAAGTCACCAAACCAACAATAAAAATAAAGTGCCTATCAATTATTATTGCATTTGCATCCTTGGTTGCACGTACAATCGAGACAGGAGAATTGAATCGTCGCGTGGTAGTAGTCTGCAGTAATGTGAATGCTGATCCCCATCTCTCTGCAGATATCGCGTATGTGGGGGTATGGCGGATTAAAGACACTGTAAAACTGTTCTGCAGTAGCGTGTTCAAGTGGTATATCAATCCCCATGCTCTTGCAAATCCCCATGCTCTTGCATTGAATTTGAGCCATATCTTGGATCTTTTGTAGACTGGTTGCTCCGAAACTCTTGGAAATTAATTAGCTGACTGATCCGACGAAGAAATGTGGAGGCCGCCTTGGTCTTAAATAGAATTCCCAGAGAGTCGCTTGCCCTCTTATGTAGGACCTACGTCCCAGATGCTAGCTTGCATTGAAGCTAGGTCACAACTTCATGAATCTTTTTTCAAAATATATACCACTTTAAGTTTTTTTTTTTAAAGTAGCGTGTAAGAAAAGGTTTTTTTTTATATATATATAGAAAACAATGCTATAAATTGATTGCGCTAGTTGTGAACAGCACACACATGACACAGCCACATAAGTTTTATTTGAAATATATATATTTTTAATTTTTTTAATTTGATTTAAAATTTAAAATAATACTTATCCTCTACCCATTAAAGTTTTTATTGACGTTATTTTATTTTCAACTTTTACTTTTTAGCAACATGACACTATATACGGAGTAGTTGTACAAGACACACACATTTATTTATTTTTCATCAGGGACATTCATTTCATGTTCGCCTAAAGTTAATCTTCATCTCCCCTTTTCTTTGTCTCGTTAAACAACAATGCCTCTTTTTCTACCCGTTAGTCATTTATTTCTTATCTTTGAGTCTGTTTCTCATTTCTATTGCAAAATACAAGTAAAACTCATATGTTAAAGAAATTAATATATTCTGAAATTAATGTCTTATTGCAAATTATGAGAAGAAGTTTTCAAAAAAAGAAGAAGGTATAAATGAGAATAAAGAACGTAACAAGGGATTAACAAAAGGTATTCAATTGATCAAATCTTGAAATACATAAATAGATAGAAAAAAAAAAGCATAGATACTCGATTTAAAAAAATAAATCAGTCAATACAAGCACCAATTTCCAAAATAAATCAGTCTTGAGGTTGGATGTACGAGATATTTGATTTTGTGTATGCTAACTTTATGCATCTTAATGTTCGGAAGGCTTTGGTTTCTCCCCATGTTTTTCACAACCAGAAATTTGTTAAATAGCAATGGATTTACCGATGGAATATTTTTATCAGTAATTTAAAATCAAAATTACTAATAGCCACTATTCCAATCGTAATTCAGTCGGTAACTACTGATAGAAATTTATGTCAGTATTTATCGACTGAATTACGAACGGAAATGTTTTCATCGTAAAAAAATGGATAACTGACGTGGAGGTTTTGACGGGTTATTTTTTCAGACAAAATCACCGACGGATTAAAAAAAAACAGCCCATACAACGACTGCCATTTATATTGCCGATGGATTTGAAATGGAAGATCCGTACGGTAACGTGTCAATTGTTCCGTTAGAATCATCGACGGTTTCATCGATGAATTGTCCTTTAGTGAAACCGTCAGGAAAAGTTAATATATGTACATGCTACTGATCCTCTCCTCCCCTATTTCTCCTTCTTCTTCCTAATCCCAACTCTCTCCATCTGGAAACAAGCAGCCCTCCATCCCCTCCAAACAAAAATCTCTCTCATATCAACACAACAAGTTATATTTCTTGAAGTTTTGTAGTCATAACATCCGTGTTCTAATTTACCAATGGATTTTGTCAATTTTTATAGGTAATTCTTTCCTTTTAAATCTTAACATTTAATTAAATGTCAATTTTATTGTTTTTTTAGTATATGTATTTTGTTAGTAAATGTACATGTTTTATTGTTATTTCTCAAATAAACTTGCAGTATATGAATGTATAATTCTATACCTGTTATGGTTTGTTTTAAATTTTATAAGATTGTATTTATTTGTAAATTGTTAAAACTTTATGGAACTAC